TCCTACTACAAGGGTTCTGTTAAAAGAGAAAATTATACACTAATTCTAGATCATTCTTAGAAAGCTTTTAATGGTAGCCACTCATTTGGGTTCCCTTTATCACTGATCGCACAAACGTTAATAAACTGTGCGATGGGTATTCTATGCAACTCCTCTATCTATTATTGTATGCACCACTAATTAGTAGAGGATTTGAACCAGTGGCTTCTGCGTAAGAAAATGGGGACGAAGCGAAGAATATAATCAAGCGGGGACACTTTTTATATCAATATGTTGACTTTAAATTATTCTTTTAAATAATGATGATAACAGTAATAATAAAAACACTTTGTCACTTTGTGTTGTATTTAGACTCGCTTGAAGGGGTTGTGGGTAGGTAGGGGAGGTGGGGAGGGGGGGAAGCAGACAGAGTAGCTTGTGTACATTTGTCCCCTCCCCTAAAAGATAGGCCTGAATGTACACAGGCTTGCACAGGCACAGTGAACATAGACGAAGTGAAAGTGGACCTCTGGACTGTGTTTATTTTTTGAACTGATAGCTGTCTCTACTATTGATTTGATTTTGACTGATAGGTGATATCAAGTGATTAAAATGTTTGCACTGTTCACACTGGATAAAAATTTCCTTTTTAACTTTAAAATGTGAAAGTGGAAATCCGCAATGCCTGAATAACACATCTAATATAGCTACAATGACTAAACAAAACTAAGCTGTTAAAAAATAGCTGAGCCATGAAAATATTTACCTCGATAGCTAGAAAGGTAAAAGTTGACTTTTCTTCAAGGACGGTCAAGTGGTCTTCATCGGTGGCGCTGTTCAATTCACATCTGTATTTCCCGCCGAGTGAAGGACCGAAATTAATGGACACACAGTTGGGTTCCATATAACACATCACTCGGCAGCTCCCTTCATTAATGACCTCCGCACTTCTGATGACATGATCCTTCATTACCTTGTTCTCTATTGGCTCCTTGAACTCGATGATACGGTATTCGTCATCTGTGAATGACGCAGAGAAAATTTGTACGAAAACGTTCACCATGCAGTGATCAAGTAAACTTATAACTTCAGTAAGAAAGATTTAAGTCCATATTAGTCGAAATATTTCCAAATTAGCAAAATTCTCAGCGAGCTACGACTCGCTTCAACGTTGACCGTTGAGGAAGAAGTCAAGGCATTTAGTCAAGTTACGTTTTATGTATGTAAGCTCAATTAAATGTGGCTGTTGGCAATAAAGAGATCATCAAAATTCTTAAGTGTCTTCTGTGAGCAGTGAGTTTTCCCGGTTCAGCCTGGTGCTAGACTGTGAAAGAAGTGTCAGTTTCCCCCTGCAGCAGCTTTAAACAGTTTCCATCCAAACACTCGCGTTACCATCGACCAAACGTCGTAATCGACAAAAGAAATAGACGTCATTAACTGTTGACAGGAACACCTTTAAACACAGCAGGAGTTATCACAAAGAAAGAATGAATATTTTCCTCAGTATATAGTCTTCACTTTATTTTGACTTCAATTGCAGTAGCAGGTGATGTTTGAAAGAGTGTTCATGTCTCACTGTAGCAGTTAAATCGCAAACATTAAGCATTTTTGAAATTATAAATCAAGGACGGACTTCTTACAGTTTTTAATTTCATAGTCCATGACAAGGAAATATTTCTTCTTTCCTTTGCCCCAAACTGAACAGAAAAGAATGCAAAGCCATTACTATACATACACGCCGATATTTGCAAATTTGCTCCAGGCTACAAATGTTAAATATAACCTTAGCTGTTTTAAGAAGTTTGATTAAGACTTGCAAGAAAATATTAACAACAGAATTCCGGCTCTTGTTGAAAATTATGTCCTTTCTCCCTAAACCTTTTAAGCCGTTTACAATTGCAATGTAGGTTTTCTTTTTGCAATGAAGGAATTCAAATTTTATTGCACTCATATGTATGCAGACTGAATAACGTGAATCTACAGTCTGGCGCAAACGATTATACCATAATTAATGTACATAAATATCAGGCAATTGACAAATGACAGGAAAACAACATGACATTGATTGTTAAAGAAACTTAACATATTGACTTTTCTGAGTGGGTAATGTCGTCGACGCTGCGGAAATCTTTGGTAAAATTAGAACATAAGATAATGGTTATAAATAAAATATGAAGCTCGGAAGAAAAACATCCTTGTTTTGTTTTATAACTGCTCACAATTAGCCTCGAACGCGAACAAAAGATGATAGGTTTTTAAATTGGGCGAGTGACTGCAGAACCAATAGAAACGAGTCGGTTCAGTTGTTTAACCACTCTGTGTGAGAGTAAAACAAACGATGCACAAACGTGGAGACCCAAAATAAATTTTGTTACTTGTTAACCTCGTTGGGGTTTGATGACCAGTCCCTGGAAAAATTGTCATTGAATTATGCATAAAACTTTATTTCAAGAGAAAAAAGTAAGTCAGGTCAGTGAAAAGCATTTATATATGCCGGGTCCGTTAGACTGAAGCGGTGAATATTTGCATCTGTGTTCATCACTCTTTTGAATTCATTATTTCATTTTTTACTTTTAGAACACGCGAGCGGTATCAAGCTGTTTTTAGTTGTGAAATATCTTGGAAGCAGATGACTGTCTCGATAATCCTCGAAACTTTATGTTATGCTAAGGGTATTTCATTCCAGTTTTTAATGTCTTTCCAGCAAACCTGTCATACAGTAGGCTCGATTTCCGCCGCTTTCTCGAGTCCAGTCTACGTTCCTCCCCGAGAAGGAAGGAAAGGGGAGGAACGCGGGCTCCTTTCCCGAACAGCGGCTGGTAATCGAGCCTAGTCATACAGCGTCCATTTTACATAGACAACGGTGTTGTTAGAACAGCCTTCCTTTATCGTTAGGGAAGGCAAGTACACCCGATCTGTCAAGCTGTTATCGTAAACGTTTTGAAGTTGATCTCCTGACCAGTTTTGTGAGTTAATCTGCTGACCAGTGGACTGCTAATTTTGCGGTAGCTTGAGCTTTCGCTTTCATCGATAAATGTAGCAAATGGCTGACATGCGCAATCCTTTTAGTAAGCCTAAATATCATTCACAATGTAAACTTTAAATACAAGCACTTTAAAATGTGTCGCTTCCCTTTTTTAAATCCAAGTTATAGTTTAACAGAAACTCCTAATTTTACTAATTTAAAACTTTTCAAGGTTAAACTTTCTTTGGTTGATTTAAAAATCAACTGAGACTGATCATAAGTTAAGATATCTCGCTGCAGGCGCCTTTTGTGTCACGGTCTAGTTAAAAACGACAGTGAAAAACTTTAATGTATAGCGTTGTCCATTCAGGCAATTCCATAGCACTTGAACTTCCCCAGTGTATGGTAGCCGCGTTCATTAAAGTCCTCTTGAACAGCATGACTCGTATCTCCTCAGCTCTTTAACTGGAGGATGTGTCAGTGAGGAGGCCACTGTCTTTACCCTATATTTCATCATTGGCATCACAGTTGCAAGGTCGTTCTGGCTTTGCACATGAGCTGCTCATCCTGCATGCGCACTTGTCACTGCCGGGTTCTGCTCCACCCCAACACGTCATTTTAGCACAATCACGTGAGACCCGCCAGGCATGATTGAGGAGCACTTTTCAGAAAGGAAAACAACGCTCGCGGAATTATGAGATAGAGAGTGACAAATGAACTCAAAGGAAAAATTCGAATAATTGATGAGCTAAACAGATTTTAAAATTTCGGACGATTTTCATTTCGGACAAAGAAGCTTGCGAAATTTTCAAGCGTCGGAAATTTCAAGCCTCTGAAATATTCGGTAGTGTATCAGCTCTCATAACCTGCTTTTGTTTGGTATCGTAAGCAGCTTCTATTGCTTTTAAGTCTAAGTCATTGTTTCAATTGTTTAGTCTTTTGTTTTTGGCTAGGTTAGCGAGTCAATCATATTATACGTTACTAGAATTGCTACATCACCCGAAATATTTGTAGCACTGTATAAAACTTTTAATAGCTGCAAAGCCGCGCTCTAGTTTCCTTTACTTAACGGCTTGAGAGAATATTTTTTTATTTTCTGTCGGTGTATGTGAGAGTGCAGTATAAAATATTATTTTCACAGATGTGGTTTCAGGCTAAAACGCGTTTTGTAGGTGTAAATTTTTGTTGGCTATGTTTCAGCAAAGTGTCCGAAATTTTTGTTCAAAAAAAGTGAGATATAGTGTCCGAAAATTAAACGTCCGAAATTTTTCTACAGGTAATGTACTCAGTCAAAGCGTTTAAAATTTGTATGAGCTGTAAGTTAAAAGAAGAATGCTTCAGCAAACTTCAACGTGCTTTAACGTGAGTTGGTAAAGCAGATTTAAGCCAGGAATTTTATGTCAATTTTGAATTAAGTTCTATATGTCATGTTAATTGAGCAAGAAAGCATTTGTAACTTTTGGCAGTATCTCTGAACGAAACGACAGCAAAAGGTTCAAGTGTCGCTGTTTGCTCAACTTCGTCTTTCCTGCACCGTAGGAATGTTTCCTCTTCGTCAGTTTTATTACTAATACTTGTTCAATTAACGAACAAGTTTCCTATCAAGGAATGAAGTAATCAACGGAACTCATGCCAATTGCAGGACAAATTTCATGTAGTAAAGAGCGTTAATGCCCGCGCAATGTTAAATAACTTGGAAAAACAATTCAGCAGATTCACAAACCGTTTAGTAACTCAAAAGTTACACTTACCTGTGCAATCAGGACCAAGTGCGAATATGCTTCCAAATGCAATGAGAAAGATGAAAGACACTACAATTGCACGTTTAAAACAACTGGAACGAGCCATTTTCTGCCCACCGTTTGACTATGCAGTTGACTCATACCATATGTAAAACGCCCGATGCAAAGATTCCACTTTTGACAGGAACAGCTCACATTTCAGCAGGTGTTTACAAAAAAATCGTAATGGATTTTATTCGGTTACGAAACCCGAGAGATTTCTAGTAGATGACATTTCAATTTCCACGCCAATTAACTGGAATACGACTCATTTAGATATGACGAGCACAGCGAAAAGTTAAGAATTAAGATGCGTAGCAAAGGATACCATTTATTTTTAATATTTCTCCGAGAAAGGTACAGCCCTTATTCATTTATAATAACATTACTATTCGCTTTACTCAGGAATTTAATATCTGGAATCTACAAGGGAGGTTTAGACGTTATAATAAAATGTTATTTACCCGTGTGGAATGAATAAATATTACCGTAAACAGGATTAAAAGGAATTGAAAAAATACACAACCCATGAGCGAATAATATCCCTTCTAATCATTTCAATCATTTCTTGGCCATAATGCCCATCGGAGACACCAGAATATCGAATTTACAAATACTACACGGTAACCTCTTAAGGAAGAAAACTGCAAACTATATTTTATTTATATTTTCCTTGATAACCTAAAGAGGTAAAGGAAACAGCGGGATAGGTTTACACGCAAGCTACGCAATAAATAAAGGTACCTGTATCCAATTGATTGACTGATGTCAATCTTTAAGCGACAGTCATAAATTATAAAACAACTATTTGGTCTATAGCGGCTAAGAGGTTTACCTCTCGTTAACAAACACCAATAAACGTGACGAGGAAAGTGTTTTACTTCCAACGTTCTAACAACGGCCAAGTCTCTCTAAAACGGTAAAGAGGAGTTTTGGAGTTTAACGAGATGTCTCTGAATGCTAATGTGTTGTTTATTGTTGTAACGAGTTTCAGAGCTTGAACGATTTTATAGCCTATGTATTTAGATGGGGCATGTGAAAACTCGTATTTCGCTTTGGACAGTTTAGCGCGCAGTCGCTTTGTCATTATAGCTCTCTTAAATTATTATCAGCCGCAGTTTGCCTTCTCCTTTCTGACTTCGTTGCGGATAAGCTATTCAATCAGCTAGGATGCCATTTTTCTCCTTGACAAAAAGAGAAACTTCTGGTTTTGAGTGTTATACATTAAACAGACCGCAATAAGGTCTTGGCCTTTAACACTGGTGGCTCCTTAGGCGAAATCGGAGACTTGGGTAGTAGCATTTTTAATTGCGTCGCACTAGCGATGATGACCGCGGCTAAAACGAAGTCAGAAGTAAACAGTGTGCATAATGAGTGTAAAGTAAAGAACGGATCAATGTTGGCAATTTATAGTGAGCACGTTCACACAAGCCTGACAACACTTAGGGTTTGACTTGATCTGAGGTTAACATCTCTGCGTTACAGTCGCGATGCCCCGCTATACACTTTAAAAAAACGTACTCGATTCGAACTAACTAAGAGCGATGCAGTTCAAGTGTAGAACAGTGCAGAAGGTGTAAAACAAGTGTAAATTACCACGAAGATTTTCGAGGTTAGTACGGAGACACTCTAAGACTACGACCGTCATCCGAAGTATTCAAAGGCGGTCTGTGGTCACCTCGAAGCTTTCCGAAGATAAGCGAAGATAACTAGACTTTTTTCCGAACACTTTCGAGGAGCATCCAAACCACTCCGAGTATGTACGTATTTATGAACATCACCCGAATCTTTTCTGAAAATCACCCGAACACTTCTGACGATCGCCGCACAATTCCGAAGGGTTCTGAAGATCATCAGACGATTAAGGAAGATCATCCGAAGATTGTCGAAGATTCTTCAACAGTTTTGGAGATTAATTGCGAATGTTTCGGTACTTTTCGAAGATATTTGGTAAAGCAAGGACACTACAGCCCGCCTATGTAAACAATTCATATTACGTCACAGTTAAAAGACCTTTAAGGGTCTCTTTTCAAGTATATTATTAAAAAGTAATCACATAATTATTCTCGCACAATGTGGAATGAATAAGCACTTGCAAATGTTTTAAGGACTAATATGCAAACGTGTCAGCCCCCCAAAATTTTATGCCGTCACAAACACCAAATTTTACTTATTTAGAACTTTCCTAGTTAATCGTCCGGTGACTTTTTTTCAAAACAGCAAAGATTTTCCCAATTTAAGAAGCTAGCTGACCATTTGGGAGCAAAGGCACTGAGAAAGAAGCTGGATGAAAAACATAATGGAATTCTGTTTACAATCAGGCAATTCCATAGCACTTGAACTTTCCCAATGTATGGTAGCCTTTCTCGCGGCCGCCGTCAGTATCTCCAAACCTCAGCTGTTTAACTGGAAGATGGGTCTTGTCAGTGAGGAGACCGCTGTCCTCTCGCCACTTATTGTCGTTGTTATCACAGTTACAAACAAGGCCGGTGCGTGCGCAGGAATTATTCATCCCGGATGCGCAAATCTGTTCTCCGTTACCAGGTGATGCTCCGCCCCAGTACTTCATATTATTGCCATCGCGTGACACCCACCATCCGATTACTTTGTTTGTTTGGTTGTTAAACAGTTTAGACTTTCGGCATGCATACTTGATGAACTGTTCACAGCGTGCGGAAACGGTAGTGAGCTTTGCCAGCTGAAGAAGACTTGCTCCTGTGTAGTTAATGTCACGTTTGTAACAACCGTGACGTTTACATCCATCCACCAGCGTTCTGTTTTCACTGTCGTGACTTATGACGGTCACGCCAACTCTTTTCTTGTCAGTCATATCACAGGCGACGTTATAAGGTGGCATGTCTCCTTCACCATCTGGATCAATGACGTAAGTACCATTTTCCACTGTAGGGTCAAGCTTCTTTAAGTCGCTGCAAGACTTTGCTAAGAACGAGAAAGAAATTTACGTTTTACCAAGAGACCACAAAAAGGTCTGACAAACAATTCGAGGGTCGTAATAGTTTTTGATAATATTTTATACTCACAAATAACCTTGATAAAGTAGGCACGATAATTTTAGAGCGATGAAAACAGCTTTTACAACTTGAGGTTATAATTGTAACTGAGTAGCATTTATGGTCACCATGATTCTTAAAGACTTTGAATCTTAGCGTAAGCTTTATATCTGAAATAAAATAATGGAATACTCATGTATTACATAACTGTTAACCATTCGCTTTGCATTAGGATGAAATATGGATTTTAAACGTCAACACAAAACTCGACATGTTTCATGTTAGACCAGGAATAGAACACGGCGCACTGTAATTTACCTGGACGACAGTTCGTTCCTGGGAATCCAGTGCGACAGATGCAACGAAAACCTTTACTGGTGAATCCAACTTGACAAGTACCTCCATTTAAACACGGACTGGTACTACAGGGATTCTGTTAAAAGAGCACAGTAAAACAATCCTAATTGGTAAGTCAATGTCTGAATATAATTAATTTCGAAAGAAATAAAGGTCCGGGCGACTTCACATAGCCATCAAGCTCCCCGCTCCCTTTTTATCAAATAGTCTACCAGCCATTTAAGACTTGATTATCATGTTTGGTTTCTTCACGATTTCCAGCCTTTCACCCTGGACGAAATTCCGCAGCGGTAATCCGCTTTTTTGAATGCAAAAAATATCACTCAGGCGTGAAACTATTTACCTCGATAGCTAGGAAGGTGAAAGCTGGCTTTTCCTCAAGGACGGTCAAGTCGTCTTCATCGGTGGCGCTATTCAATTCACATCTGTATTTCCCGCCGTGAGAAGGTCCGAAATTAATGGACACACAGTTGGGTTCCATATAACACATCACTCGGCAGCTCCCTTCATTAATGACCTCTGCACTTCTGATCACGTGATCCTTCATTACCTTGTTCTCTATTGGTTCCTTGAACTCGATGATACGGTATTCGTCATCTGTGAATGACGCAAAGAAAATTTTGCCAATTAATATAGTGGCTTGTTATTTGTACGAAAACGTTCACCATGTAGTAATCAAGTAAACTTATAACTTCAGTAAGAAAGATTTAAGTCCATATTAGTCGAAATATTTCCGAATTAGCAAAATTCTCAGCAAGCTACGACGCGCTTCAACGTTAACCGTTTAAGAAGAAATCAAGGCATTAAGTCAAGTTACGTTTTATGTATGTAAGCTCAATTAAATGTGGCTTTGGCAATAAAGAGATCATCAAAATTCTAAAGTGTCTTCGATGAGCAGTGAGTTTTCCCGGTTCAGCTTGGTGCTAGACTTTGAAAGAAGTGTCAGTTTCCCCCAGCAGCAGTTTTAAACAGTTTCCATCCAAATACTCGCGTTACCATCGACCAAACGTCGTAATCGACAAAAGAAATAAACCACATTACCTGTTGACAGGAACGCCTTTAAACACAGCAGGAGTTATCACAAAGAAAGAATGAATATTTTGCTCGGTTTATAGTCTTCACTTTATTTTGACTTCAATTGCAGTAGCAGGTGATGTTTAAAAGAGTGTTCATGTCTCACTGTAGCAGTTAAATCGCTAGCATTAAGCATTTTTGAATTTATAAATCAAGGACAGACTTCTTACAGTTTTTAATTTCATGGTTCATGACAAGGAAGTATTTCTTCTTTCCTTCGCCCGAAGCTGAATTAACAGAAAAGAATACTCAGCCATTACTATGGATACACGCCGATATTGGCAAATTTGCTCCAGCCGCTACAAATCTTAAATGCAACCTTCGCTGAGTTTAATAGTTTGATAAAGACTTGCAAGAGAATATTAGCAACTGAATTCTGGCTCTAGCTTGTTGAAAATTATGTCCTTTGTCTCCAAACATCTTTAAGCCGTTTACAATTGCAATGTAGGTTATTGCATTGTAGGAGTTATCACAAAGAAAGAATGCAACGAAAGAATATCCCAGTTGTATTGTATTGTATTAAATTCTCCAGAATGTCAATGATCGAGTTCTTATGCCCATCGAAAGGCCATTAAAGAGCGATAAGTTTCGAATATAACTGCTTGTGACGTTTGTACACCAAATGTTAATGTTGGTCAAAATGTAGCTGCCCTGTTAAATGTTCTTTGATCTGTTGTAAAGATTATCCGATCAGCGAGTAGTTTGTCAAAAAGACGGAGATGAAAAGAGGTTTAGGCTCATTTATATACCTTAAGCGAGGAGAAAGTTTCAGAACATTTTTCCCAGTTGTGATATGTACCATAAAAGAGCCTGCTTGACTAGATCGACTTCTGTGGCATTTGCATTCCAATTTTGTGTAATTTTGTAGTCGGTGTTCACTCCATAATATCAGTTCGTAATGTTCCCTAGCTGAAAAACTCGTGATAAAAGAAGAGTGTTTCTGTGCTGAAAACTTAAATCCAATACCTCTAAACTACTGGGCCGAAACAGAAAAACCATTTTGAGAGAATTTCAACACCAGAAAGCTTTCATAACATTTCTCCAAAAACGTTTATTTCCGCTGCGACCAAAACATCTTGAATAAAAATCGAGTGAAGGTAACTAAATTTTTTAGGCTCTAAACCAAAAGCAAGTACAACCATTTTATTCATTCCAAAAATTTAAGTGATAGCAGCACAATTGCAATTTTCCAATTCGTATCTTGTTAATCGAAATAGTGCGAGTTAAACGTTATTTTCTCATTGCTCCACAAAACGCAATATAAGTGCTGTGACAGTCACCACGAATCACTCTCGTACTTTTCAATCGATAACCAAGTAGTGGGGAATTGAAATGCCCGTTAACTGAGAACTTTAGAGGAGGTGCAAAACTAAAAAGGACCCTCCGATATAAATGCCTTTGTCTTACTCTCAAAGAAGTTTACATCCCAACAGCGAAAAACTCACCCGAAGCAACCCAAACCAAAATATAAGTAGTTCCTAACTAGTGGCAAAGTCTCTGTCTCCATACACTAATAAGAGAGCAATGACTCCCCAATAAGCAACAACTATGAGTAATGTCCGCCTCATGGAACCCTGATACTAGGACTTGAACTGTTCCTTCAAATACAAAGATTGAGATAAACTTAACGTCCTCTGCTATCTACCGCTATGGCATTATACTCACCACTGTAAGTAGAACCGAATGGAAACATGATTCCAAATAATATGCAAAGGGTAGCGGCAACAGTGGCAGGTCCACTCTCAAAACCGGCCGAACTTGCCATTATCCTGGCGGGCACCGTTTGACCAGAAGTAGAATATTTTGCACAGTTTATAGTCTTCACTTTATTTTGACTTCAATTGCAGTAGCAGGTGATGTTTGAAAGAGTGTTAATGTCTCACTATAGCAGTTAAATCACTAGCATTAAACATTTTCGAACTTATAAATCAAGGACGGACTTCTTATAGTTTTTAATTTCATGGTTCATGACAAAGAAATATTTCTTCTTTCCTTTACGTGAAACTAAACAGAAAAGAATGCAAAGACATTACCACGCATACACGCCGATATTTGCAAATTTGCTCCAGGCTACAAATGTTTAATACAACCTTGGCTGTTTTAAAAAGTTCGATTAAGACTTGCAAGAGAATACGAACAACCGAATTCTGGCTCTTGTTGAAAATTATGTCCTTTCTCCGTAAAACTTTTAAGCCGTTTACAATTGCAATGTAGGTTTTCTTTTTGTAATGAGAGAATTCAAATTTTATTGCACTCATATGTATGCAGGCTGAATAACGTGAATCTACGGTCTGGCGCAAACGATTATACCATAATTAATGTACATAATTATCCGGTAATTGACAAATGACAACAAAACAACCTGACGTTAATTATTAAGGAAACTTAACATATTGACTTTTCTGAGTGGGTAATGTCGTCGGTGCTGCGGAAATCTTTGGTAAAATTAGAGCATACGATAATGGTTATAAATAAAATATAAAGCTCGGAAGAAAAACATCCTTGTTTTGTTTTATAACTGCTCACAGTGAGCCTCGAACGCGAACAAAAGATGATAGGATTTTAAATTGGGCGAGCGACTGCAGAACCAATAGAAACGAGTCGGTTCAGTTGTTTAACCACTCTGTGTGAGAGTAAAACAAACGATGCACAAACGTGGAGACCCAAAATAAATTTTGTCACTTGTTAACATCTTCGGAGTTTCATTATCAGTCCCTGGAAAAATTGTCATTGAAATATGCATAAAACTTTATTTCAAAAGAAAAAAGTAAGTCAGGTCAGTGAAAAGCATTTATATATGGCGAGTCCGTTAGACTGAAGCAGTGAATATTTGCACCTGTGTTCATTACTATTTTGAATTCATTTATTTTATTTTTTATTTTTAGAACACGCGAGCAGTATCAAGCTGTTTTTAGTTGTGAAATATCTTCGAAACAGATGACTGTCTCGGTAATCCTCGAAACTTTATGTTATGCCAGGGGTATTTCATTCCAGTTTTTAATGTCTTTCCAGCAAACCTGTCATACAGTAGGCTCGATTTCCGCCGCTTTCTCGAGTCCAGTCTTCGTTCCTCCCCGAGAAGGAAGGAAAGGGGAGGAACGCGGGCTCCTTTCCCGAACAGCGGCTGGTAATCGAGCCT